AGCAAAGAATTGGACAGGCAGGATTGAGTTGGTACTAAGTCATTCTTGGCCTCACTTGTCCAAAGCGCCACGCATGTAGGGCTCTTTCATCTAGCTGGCCAGTTTAGCATTTCTTGACTTGCGGAGGAGCAGGGAGGGAAGAGGCAGAAAGAAGCCACCTACAGGCCAGTACAGAGAATGGTTTGCTCTGTAGACCACAGCAAATGACTTTCCAGAACAAACTTACTCCTCAGTCTGGTTGTATGCAGTAATTTTTTGCATTTTTCTAGTACATGTGCTCATGGATTTAATCAGCAGCTAATAATTTTTATCACAGTGTGTACTGTTTTATTTGTAATTGTTCTTGCTCATTTCTAGTTTCCTTGGTTAGCAACCAGTTTCCCCCGATCAGAACACTTTGAACTGACCCAGGACCACAGAGGCCTACCGCACTGGCTGTCTCCTACATCACTCATGCTCAGTGGCCAAAGGTGAGCCATGGCTCTTTAAGTACTCCTAGGACAATGCACGGCCAGTGAAGACTTTGGCAGAGCTCTACCCTTTTTGGCCCAGCTCCCCAATAGGAGAGGGACAAAGTGGCACCAGGTTCCTCGGCTGCTTATCCTCATCTGTGACTCATGTGGAAGTCCCAGAGCATGGTCATAAAGCACATGATGCTTCAACTGAACAAAAGCTATGCAAGTCTGCAAGTTTGTCTGAATGGGAATGATGCAGGAACCCTGTGTACCTAGACCTAAAAAGTAAATTGAAGTGACCAACTGATGTGCACATGAGGAGAATTGTTGCTTATATGGATGACAGACCTTTTTCTACATCGTAGCTTGAAGGGAAAAAAGCAGGTATGTGAATTTGCAAGTCTTCCTTGGAACTGAATACTTTGCTAGAGGCTATACCAAGTCCCATTGCCTTAGGAAAAGAAGTAGTCCAAACACTTGATTTAAGAAACAAAGCAAACTGATAATCATGATGCATAAACTGTCAATTATATTTGTGGGTCATTGATTGCAATCCTCTTCTAAAAACATTTATTGCTTGGACTGGAGTGGAACTATTCCCTTAAAAGCATGCACAAACAAGAAATGGTTTTTGATTTGTTTATTAGAAAATCACAGTTAGATCTTAAATGCCAGATTCATAGGGTTTCTCCAATCTAAGGAGCCATAACTTTAGTTGAGAACTAAACACACCCAAATATCTATCTATATATTTTATATTGCTTTACCACATAATATACATGAAGCATTATTACAATAAACTATGACAATATTTCTTATAATAGAGGTTAAATGCCTGACTGTTCATTTTTATGCAGAAGTAAGCCCCACTGAATTCAGTGAAGTTTATTTCAAAGCATTCACAAAAGAATTCAGGCAATCCTATATGCATTTATTTGAAAGTAAGGTATATTGAACTTTTGGGAACCTTCTTCCAAGTGAAATACACACAGGAACAAACTATTGGGCAGAAATTCAGAATATGATTTCTTCTTGCTTTTTGCAACAAAGTGAATGAGTGTTTGGGGATAAAACTATTTTTTTCAGGAATGACATGGGAACATCTTCAGAAATCAGAACATTCCAATATTTAAGTTCAGCATTGCTCCTGATTTGCAAAATGAGTATCATATAAAAAGTATTACCACTTAGTACAAGCAAGTTGCAGTCTCCTATGTCAAAACATGATGTTTTTATTAGGGGCGCAACATTATGCATGCTTGTAGAGAGAAAAAACATCATATGACTAAGCATTCCAGCATGAGTGAGGAATACTGCCAACTGTGGTATCAGAACTGTATCCTAATTTTTAAGACACATATTTGGTGCAGAAAATATGTCTTCCATTTTGTTTCTCATATGCACTCTAAGATGAACAGAGTCAAGGATCCACACATCGCTTATACAGCTAACTTTCATCTAGTTTGCCACTGAATGTTGTTTCGCTCCAGAAGGCCAGTCATACAGAAATAATTCTGTGTGATAAAGAAATGGTTTTACATTGGCATGATGCTTAGCTAAATATTATATGAATTACCAAAAAGTAACACTCTGGGTTGAACCTTTCATGATGTAGTTTCATTTTTGTTGTCAGCTTCTACAAGTTTTATTTATTTATTTAAAACTTTTATATGCTGTCCACTAGCAAATGGTCTCAGGATGGTCTTACAATAAGGTCACCATCTTAAAACTCAAAGAATAGACGCAGGAATTCTTTAAGATTTGTTCCATCAAATGGAAATATTGCATTTGACTGTTCCCGATGGCCCTCAAGGCCTTTTTCCCCATGAAAATTGATTTCACATTGTTTGGATCAATTACTTATTACAGGTTCCTTTAATGGCACTTCAAGGTATAATGCTTAAGGCACATGCATTGGACAAACAACCCTTGTTATCAGAAGCATATTATCTATTTGCTGAAAAGTTTTAACTAAGTACTCACAAGAATGTTAAGTCTGGGGGGCAGAAAAAACAAAGAGCCGGCAGAGCCCTTGTGAATAACAAAGAGCCAAACATTATAGTCTGAAGCATAGGCCATCACACAATTTTAACAGGTAACTGCATTAGCTAAACTTAGTTTGGTTTTCTAGTATAATACAATGCAGACCTAGAATTAGTAGCTGGATATTTGTAGGCCAGTTTGCGCAAAGGTATATAGAGGGCCCCACTGCCAGAAGCAGAGGAAATAGAAGAGACTGTATTTCAATTGCCATGCCTATATTTTAATTCAAAATAATAAAGATATATTTTGATTCATATGACCTTAAGTGCAACATGTACTAGAAAAGACTTCTTAGAGAGTCAGCTTCAAGTGAGAAATATTAAGGCAACGTATCTTGTACCTTCGTTTCCTATGTACTTTACAGAAAGGTAAGATAGAATGTTAAAAGTGGCTTCAAAATCAAAAAGGCTATTAGACTTGAATTACTTCTTGGAAGGCAAATATCCACAATGTTCTAGACATAACCCCCAAACAGAACCCAGGATGCAGCTATGGAGAAGGAAACACAATTGATCAGCTCACCAGGGATGTGGTTAACCTCCTATGCCAATGAATGCAAGACTTAACTTCTCTCCCATATCTGTGGCTGGTTGCCACACACTCCTCTGTGAAGAAATGAAAATGCTGCACTTCAGGGCAATGAAGTGGTGAGGGCAAATATACACACCATCCCTCACAACTGAGTGGCCTGAGCCTTACTGACAAGGCCCTGGAAAGAGGATGTGATGTGTGTCTCTGTGCAAAAATGCACCACACCTCCCTGTGGTCCATGTCTCCCCTGGTACATAGCCTGCCCAAAGGCAGTTTGCTAGCAGGCACTAACATCTCCCCTCAATTTAAGGCTATCGCCACAAAACAAAAGTTGAAACTTCAGACAAAAGTAACAATTTCAACAACAATATGTTTTAAAGCAAATAATCAGCAAAAGCACAATGTTCAAGGTTCTGAAGGTAAACCACAAGTACAGGTACTGGGATTTGCTGAAGCTTTCTTCTTCCTTTCAAAATATGCTTCAACAGGACTATTCTAACTTTACTTCACAATTCATTTTTTCTGCTTGAAATGTGTTGTTATTCAGGGAAATATGTAGGTTCTCTATCCAGTTTCTGGTCTTCTCTTCATCTTAAAGTTTATTACTGTTTCTGCAGAAGTGTACGTTGAACTAAAAGAGAGGAGAAGAAACCATTTAATATTTAGATATGCTCCCATTACAAATATTTCAAGAGAGAGTCAATATACAGACTGCTGCTCAAACTCCCTACAGTCTATTCACTGAAGTCGCAATGCTGAATGCACTAACTTCTGGAAGGTGGACATCCCTTCCACCCCGTTAAGTGGAGATTCCCTTTCCCTTTCAAAACCAGATAGGTGCAGGCAGCTGCCTGAAGTGAAAGGCTTTTGAGAAAATTATGTCTTGAGATTCCAACAGGCAGAATTTGCTTCAGCACTTAAGAGCTCAATCCCCTGTTTCAGTTATTATATCTGTTCCAGCATTCTCCAAAGAAGCTCATGGAACTTGCAACCTTTTATTTTCACAGAAGACCTCGTTGGTAGACTGTGCTGAAGTATACTGTTGATTGGCCTATTCACATAAATAGTTTTATGACTCAGCCAGGATTTGAATACACGTTTCCTAAGTTTAACACCAACGTTCTTGTCACTCACTATTGCTTCCGTGCACTAATGCACACATGGAGAACCAAATGAAAAAAGGTAACCCTCTTCCCATATCCCATATTGAAATGAGCAAACCAGTCCTTGCTCACAGGACAATTCTGCCTCTGTCAAAATTTGAAACAGCTGCCAGAAGCACGCTGTGGCTTAAGACTTTGTACTTTCAAGTAGGCCAAGGACAAAAATAGGTTTGCTTTCCAGCCATTGCCTAAAGCATTTTGTCATCACTCCAATCTAAGGTTAAAAGTTCCCTGCAGTCAGACATGGGCAATACATCAGTTTTTAGTCATTTTAAGCCCTGCAAGCCCTCTCAATGGTAGCAACAGCTCTGTATGATGGAGACGGAGCACACACAGAGACAGTCTATCACCATAATGAGCACCAACAATGGAAAATGCCGCTGTCTTGTGCTCTCTTTCAGAGGGAGCGTCTTTGTTCCACACAATAGTTCAGCAGCAATGTTAATCTTTCCTGCTCCCAGTTTGCTTTCATAGAACTTCAGCCCTGTCCAAATTCTGTTAACATTTTCCTATTGCCAATTCCTTCTAAGCTTTGCTTTATAGGTCTAATCTATGGTCCAACAATACAGGGGATGCTGTCAGACTTCCAACACATTCCATTCCAGCAGCAACCAACAGTCAATGACCAACAGTTGCAGTCAATATTCTTTTTCCCCATTTAAAGCTGCAGTCTTAAACTCCATAGAACACATTTGGGTTGACTTCTGAGAAGACATGGGTAGCTGTTTCATTGTTGCAATCTGTAGGTTAAATACACATCCCTGAACATCAAAACCATTCATTCATCAATTTTTATTGATTTATTTGCGGCCAGTGTTCCTTTCAGCTTTACTTTGGGAAATTACTTAGGCTCCACACTTTTGATTCAACACTGAAAAGTAAATGAAAAATTAAATAGGCAACCCTTTTTGAATACTCTAAAATATAAGGCAGGATAGAAGAGAGAGACGATGAAGTACAGGGAGGTCAGTCACATATACACACATAAATATCCCTGCATATATGCATCTTTGCCTACGTATATATCCATCTGAAGAAGACCTTTCTCAGCAGACTTCTGAAAGAGATTGATTTTCCTACTATTTGGTCTTAGCTGGTTGTATCTGTGCTTACTGATTTGATTATCATTGTGGCTTTTATATGGAAAGTCATTTCAGAACCACTGCAGAAATGAGACAAGACATTTTATAAGCAACCCTCTCCCTCCCTCCTGCCCTGTATCCCTTGGTCATGACGGGTTCCCAGTAAAATACAACCTTTCCCCCCCTGTAGAATGCACATGTGTATGGGGGAAATGTCCATAAAGCCCATGAGGCCCAGAATGAGAGGAAGCCTGTTCAGGGCAAGGGTGGGTGGGTGGTACTTTGTATAGCCACAACCAGCAACACAACTTTGCCACCATTGGCTTGTCCCAACTCTCAACAGATGAGAAGAATTTTGTCTCTATGATTAAAAGCCCCTTAATGATGAAAAGGTTCACCTCAGTGACAGAGCACATGCTCTGCATACAAAAGGTCCCTGGTTCAGGTATGAATGAAATTATAGCCATAACAATAACAATACACACATTATGTTTCTAGGGAAAGGATTTCTTACCAGGTGGCTCTGCATGGGCTCCCTGTTGGCTTTCCATATTAACATTCTCTTGATCTGCAGAGATAAACATATTTAAGAGACCTAGCACTTGTAAGTCATAAAGAATATTCAGCTCATGACTGCTCTGATTTCAAACTGCGGGCCTCTGATTACAATGCATACAGACAGTGAAGTATTGAGGCAATATTCTATGAGCATTTCCCACCCTGCTCTCAGAAAATTATCTCATGTCACTGTTAAGTTACAGGAAATGGTATGAGCAACATTTGAAGACCCTCCCTGCCCCAAAAGAGACAGAAAGGAAAAACTTACCACTAGCTTTGAAGCAAAGCTTTTTCTTCTGATATGCTATAAAGCTTGATGCAGCCCCAACTACAGCCACAACGACTGAGCTAATAATGCCAGCTAGCATTCCTTGAGAACCTGTTAGAAAACAGTTTTAATCTCTGAACACTCTTATATAAAATAGAATAGGGGACAAGTTATTCAATAGCATTACTTAGACAAGCAAATTCAGTGCATGAAGAAACCCTAGAGTTCAACAGAGTTTTCTCTTGTAGGCGTGCATGAGATCTCTTAGGACGGTCTCTTACCATGCCCTTGTGCTGCCACTAGTGATATTGCACCACAAATCTGCACTTTACCTTGTTGTCCTAGTAAGTGCTTGTTTCATTGTGCAAATGTTCGTTTAGGCTAGTGCAACATCATTATAATACTAGCAGTGGGGCAACGCTAGATAGTACACTTTGAACATATGTTCCTCTTTAAGACGTGGTTTGCACATCATGAAGAGAATGGCTTGTTTAACTCGTGAGTTATTCACTATCAGATAGGTGCAAATCTGCATGCTGGGGCCTAATGGCTCCTTCTGCCTTGATTAACAACCCAGGAGCAGGCTAGCAGCAGAGGTTTAGCATATTACTTGACTTGCAGCTTCTGGGTAATGCAAAATATGTGCCACACAACCTAGCAGTCACAGGCTCCCAGTTCCTGATGCTCAGTTACAGCCAAAAGGCTGTGTCGAAACCAGGACAAACTTTTCTACTCAAAGTAAGTATTATGAAGAGTTGGTTTTCAACATCAATTCCAACTGAAAACCCATGCTTTTAAGCAAACCTTCGTGAGCTGAAGTACTGGTGGGCAGGAAGAGAGGAACAAATGCCACGACACATTGTGGATCATGCTGTCCAGAGCAGCGTTCAAGTCAGACAGGAGATCACACTTTCTGACACTCACCAGCCCTGCTTCTAAACACATACAACAGGAAGTGATGGCTCTGTGTTTGCCAGGAGTAATAGAGGATGCTGGCTCATGAGTTCTCTTTGAGTAATGGGTGGAAAGGGAAAATGGAAATATTGACTTCCTCCCTGGAGAAGTAATAACAAATTTGAGGACCTCAGAAGCAAACACACCAGTTCTATACTTGTCCATGGAACTGCCTTTGAGGATGGTTCAGAAGCTACTGCTTGTGCAGTATGTGGTGGCCAAATTAATAACAGAGCCAGAACATCTGAACATCTATTTCTGTCCAGCTTTCACAGACTGCTAAATGTTTCTGAGCTCAATTCCAGGTGCTAGTTAGAAACTATCAGGTATTACACAGCCTTGCACTGCCAGCATAGATCTTTTCAGCACTAGATTAAGATCTTTTCGCAGGCATTTGGCAGCATATGATGAGGTTTTAGTCAAGCCTGTTTCCTGTTGATGGTTTAAAATTGTTTCTGGGCACACATGTTTCTCTGTGTCTTGCATGTTTATATGCATATAGCTGTTTATAAACTATTTTAAGTTTTTTATTTTTAAGTTTTTTCTTTTATTTTTAAGTTTTAGCCTTCCAAGCTGCCCAGGAAGCTTCAGCTATTGAGTGGTACAGTAATGTAATAAAAGAAATGAAATTTTCTCAAGTTTCTAACAACTGCAGGAAATCATAGGATGTTCTTGACTCTCTAGCAGTACAATACAAATAAGGACTTAGACAGCTCGACTCAATGCTAAGTTTAGAGAATGGGTAGGAAGCAGAAACTTGACAACTATCAAAGAGGATGATTAGCCACCCAACTTTAAATTAAACTATGATCCCACACTGTAAAATCAGTAGGATGGCCTTCCCTATAGGCCAAAATAATGTCTCCTAAAGGAAACATTCTATGGTAAGTTAAAGGAATTTCAGCCGTAAACATCTATTTTGAACATTGCTAAAAAAAAAAAAAAAGACCCTGAAGGAAACTCAAAACAAAACAGTGTTTCCAGACCTTCAAATCCCTTAACTAGACTTTTCACCAAAAGGAAAGGATAATAACAAATAGTTGTTTCAACAGCAGATTTTCTGAGCAAGTGAACAAAAGGTAAAGATAAAGTATGAGTATTGGTGCCCATGCAGTATGAGAATCTTCATTGCTAAGAAGGAGTGAGCTAAACTATTTAAGTAGTGAGCTAAACTGTCTAAGTACAAACATTAATTTTTAGGGACTTTTTAAAAACTAAGCAAGAACACATCAGCTTACCTTCTGTATTTTCAGTGGAGCCTCCATTCCCTCCTCCTGTGGGAATAATTATGTTAGTATGCATATTACACAGTATAGATCCCTTTTTTTCAGTAACTGTAATAGGATATTACCTATAGAAAATAGTGCTTTCTTGAACGATGTGAGGTCATCTTTTTTAAGCCTGGATCTTTAAATAATTGTTGTCTGGTTTTATATTGTGCTATGACTATTAAAATACATCTATTTTGTTAAAAGTACTTAATGTTGGCCATTCAATTAAAGGCTATCCTTACAATTAAAAAAACCACCTTCATTGCTTGGTTTTAATTTTCCCCTTTCCTTTAAAAATCTTGTGCTCGGTTCAAGCAGGTTACAATTCCAGTAGATGGGTTTAAGAAAGATAAAAAGAATGGGAAATATCTGAAAATTAGTAATAACAAGACATCAAGGGACTTTAAGTTACAAGCAAAGAAAGAAATGCAAAGTTGCATCCAACTCAAAACAAGCATTGACACAGGCCACATACCTGGAGAAGGGTTAGAAGCACGGCCTACATTTAAAAAAAAAAAAAAAAAAACGTGCATAGCATTGTGAGAAGCAAAAACCAACTCAAATTGTTACTTTAAAAAACTCTTGAGATTATCAGCATGTGTTAGTTGGACATGCAAGCACATGAAGCACATTAGCTGTATTCTTGTACTTTAAATTTGAAGACAGTTTATACAAAATAGCATCAAATAGACAGAACCTGATGTATGTACCTTGCAAAAGCAGCACCAAATCAAAGGGCAATATCGTTAAGCTATTATCCATGCACAGCAATTTAAAAAAATTAGGAAGAGATCTGACAAGGACTTTCATTCTGCATATAGGGAGCTTAAAGCAATTAGGCTGCACACGTCCATTTGAGCATCACAACAGAATCCAGTCTGTATGCTGGGGTGGGAAGGGGGGAGATGAGAATCTCATTCAGCCTGGGAACATCATTTAATTTTGGCCAAGCTCAGGGGGGCTGTTTTTCAAGTGCTGGGGAGCAGGGTCTGAAGGCAAAGGGCTAGGCCTAAAGAGGCAAATACAGGCATACCGTAGCTTAAAACTCTTCATATGTTAGAAAAGGTATTTCAAACTTTTAGAATGGGGAAAAGCTATACAAAAGCCAGGAAAACACAAAATGATTTTGTGGTTGGAGTGAAGAGGGTGTGGCCATTCCTGAACCCTTGAAGGCCAGAAGGGCCAGATTTGGCACCTGGGCTTCAGCTTGCCCACCTCTGCCTTAGTTCCTTTAGGCTGCAGTCTTATGCCCATTCCCCTCAGAGCAGACAAGTGTTGAGCAGCTCAAACACACAATCATGGCCAAAAACAAAGACTGCAATTCAAAGAAAAGTTTTTTTGTAGGGTAAAAACTTTTGTGCGCATGCATAGTTTCTACCCTACAAATAAAACCTTTGAGAATAGGAAAGAAGATAACTGTTTAGTCAGGAAGGCTAAAACTCCCATACAATGGTGGAAAGAGACTGAAAACTAGAGTCTGGAACCTCCCCAATTTTGTGACTGGAAACTAATTCAGCAGTAATTATGTATGGGCACATATATAATTTGAGGAATTTGGAGTTTGCCCACTTGTGCAGATAGGCATGCTAATGAGAAAAATGGCCCCCTAAAGGAAAGCAGGGTTACTACATTCCCATATCCTGTGTTGGGCAGGGATTTTACAAATTTGGAGGTAATTTCAAGATATACACATCCTAAATATTTTTAGGCTTTTAATATTTTAGTGCATAATTTTTGTATGATTTTGTTTGTTTTTGTTGTGAGCCACCCCGAGGCTTTGTTGCGATGGGGGCGGCATAGAAATGTTGTAAATAAATAAATAAATATTTTCAGTGCCTTCATTCATGCCCCAAGGCTCCACCTTTTAATAGCTAAGCAATATAAAGGAAATATGTGCTTAAGCTGTACATTTGAAGACAACTTAAAAGTTGTAGACCTAACATACATAGCCCTGTTTCCATAGTAATAAACAGATAAATAAAGTTGATTTCCAGGTGAAGTTTTTTGTTTGAACATCACTCTTTGTTAAACGTCATTGAACTTGATTTCAGTTTGTAAACAAATATTTAATGTTGGCTACTAATACATGAATCAGTTTTTATACAGCATGCAAAATTAACATGGGAGTTTGGTTCTGTTTCTTTTGTTGCTTTGCTTGTTTGAAGCTTTGGCTGCTACATCTCAGTCAAACAAACATACTATATCAGGCTTTTTCTCTCTCTTTTATTTCAGAGATCACTCAGCATAGTTCCTCACTTGCTATCATGAAAACAAACAAGTCCAACACACAAGCCCCAAATATTTTTAAATATGTTGTATGTCAGAGACTTACCTGCTGGTGGTTCTTCTGGAGGCAATTTACCACCGACTAAATCCAAATCACTTAATTCTTTAAAGACAGATAATTAAAGCAAGTGTTAAAGAAAGTTCATAATTCAAGCATATTGTTCTCTATGATAAATTGTGCACTGTGGTGTTTTCACTACCTTTCCAGCTTCTGTAGCTTTGGCTACAACCACAAGTGCATCTACCTGAATGTTAAGCTGCTTGAGCTTATTAGGACATGCTTCTAAGTCAATGTGGTCAAGACAGAAATAAGGCTTCCTACAATAACATTCAAAGTGCTCAAAATCCAATTTCACAAAGCACATGTTGGTATTGTGCATCCTATAATGCTCTGCCATCATTCCAGATGTCAGCACTGGAAGGGAATCGGACAAAGAAAAGAGAACATACATTCAGGTAGTGCAAATATCTTAGCCGTTCCTAAGGCATCAACTCAGCCATAAAACTAGGGTACAGCAAAGCGTGCAACGAGGAAGTAAAGCACGGAAGAAAGAAACCATTTTTACCTCTCATGTTAGATTTTGGGTTTCTGAGAACTAAAGAACTCATTATTTTAAAGGCACAGCTAGGAGCTACTTTTTTTTCTTTTTTTTCTTTTTTACTGTAGACTACACACAGTGGTCCTGATCCAGATTTGTATGCTTTAACACTTGTCCCTGGGGTCCCAGTCCAGAGCACGGTCCCTGTGCCTTCAGTATTGCCAAATAAAGATCCATTTGTTTTAACGGATGACGACTGGACAAGAGACATAGGAAGGGTGGCAGGGCACAGTTACTCTAGTGTAAAAAGGGAAAGATGTAGCTGCTGCTGAATTCTTTAAGGTGTGGTTGGGCGACGTGAGGCCTAACCATTGACTAAGTGGCTAGGACTGATGGGGTCTGTAGACTAAAGCATCTGGAAGCCAAGCGGTTGTGCTTGGCTTTAAAGTAGCATGCATTTTGAGTCCCACCCAGTGTTTATTCACAGAAGGAAAGGCATTTCAGGAGACTGAAGGCTGAGATCTGTGACCCAGGATGCCCCTATTCTGAATAGATTTCAAGGCATCTCTGCCACACTCCATTACTGTTTTTCCCTTTCAGATATTCAAAGGTGCTTGCAAGGAACACCATCATCAGTCTACCTCTAAAGCTAGACACAGCTCTGCTTTTAGCTTAGCACAGATCCTGCTCACCACAAGAAATTATATGGATTACTCTTAGAAGAGAAATACCTTAAACACGTTTTTATTTAAAACATTGCCTATAACTTCCCTGTTAAATATAAATCTAAACAGGTGTTGAAGATCAACTGCATACACAGTAATCATTCTAGAAGCCCAGTTCCCTCCACATCTTGCCCAGGGTTCCCAATCTGCTTGAAATGAAAAGCTCCTGAAGCATGCTCAAAGAGTTAAACCAAAAGGATGAACTGGGGTCCACAGGCTCCACGGTGCTCATCCAGTTCTCCCCAGGTGTTAAAATCCCTGCAGGCACCCCCACCCCAAGCAATACAGAGAAGAATTTCACAACTGGGTTCAGATGACATAACAGACCAACAAGGGTAAACACCCATCACTCCTACTGCCCCACTAGGCCCTGAAGAAGTTTTTCCAGAGAATCTTACCCCCAGAATTGCCATGGCTTCCGGGTTTTGGTTGAGGAGGAGGTGGTGGCGGTGCTGGATTGGAGTCTTGATCTAGCAATGAAGAACAAGCATTCACATGTGAAAAGCAGAGAGAACCTCCAGCATTCGAAGAATGCAAACATTTTAGCCACAGTCCTTATTAAAGTCGTAACACAGACTTGAGTTTAAAAAGTCATGCACTCTTCCAGCAGACTGAAGCACAAGAATGGACTCCTTCTCCATTAGAGTCTCACAGTACATCAGAGTCTCACAGTCTCACAGAGTCTTACAGGCGAGGGCTCCAACTGTGTAGACATGCACAGAACCCTCAATTCATTATATCAGCATCAACATCCCATCTCTTTTCCTCATGTCAGGAATCTAATTTAGCACAGTTCCAGACGTTGTGGGGGTAGCAGAGGGACAGTTTTTAGTCTTCAAAACCCCCAACTTTCACACCAATGTCATTTTGTCTGATGCAACTCAGCATTTTGCTGCCATCAACCATGGACATGGCTTACATCATTTCTGGCCCAAAACATGTGGCAGGGCACACATGTGTCCTTATGTGCTGGGTAATTTGTGAGAAGCTGTGCCAAAAGTGGTTCCATTGTCATGCATATTTGGACTGCAAGACCAGTTTTGGATTTTAATCTTCCACAGAATGGAGGACCATATATCTGGCCCAAAGACTGAGGGATTCTGAGAGTTTCTTGATGTCCCAGAGGATTTTCCCAGAGATTTGGACAATAGATCTGCCAAAGCCCTAAGAAGTGAGAAATAGCAAAGGCCATTGATAGGATCATTTCTGAACATCTTTTGTCAAGTTAATTCACTTCCACAGAAACCTGTGGACTGGGAACAATGAAATAGCATGCACAACTCTGAACAGAGATATTATTTTGCCACCACTGTATCTGCATAGTGCCACTCAATGCTTTTCAAGCCATAAGGGCCTGTTTACAAGCTTGTTCAGACCAATTTGTAATGCTTTTTACAGATAAAATTGCACTCCAACCTACCCACCACAACCTGGACAGAATCAGGGACAAATACAGCGAGGGTACTTTCTGGTCCTATTGCTATAGACTGCTTTTAACTTTTGTAACTGAAGGCAGGTTGGGTTGCTGAGGAAGCCCTTGTCTCTTGACTAGCAAAACTGGCCAGGGTTGGGCTGTCAATGTTGGCTTTGGAAACAGCAAGTGCTTCATTAAGGAACTTTGTAGCCTTCATCCTGGGATGCTCTAAAGTATCAGTTAACTGACCACTCACTTTTTATTACTCTTAATTGCAACTGCTATATTAAGTTCCATTTTTAGAAGAGACAGAAGAGAAAGGCACACCTGCCTGTTTGAAATGAACCAACCCACTTTCTTCAATCTAACACACAGCAAAACTTCCACATGAGAATTGTTCTGTGGGTGCAATCACCAGCAATGACTAATGCACACATACCAAAAGCACAGGAAAGGCAAAGAGACTCGGAAGCATGCAAAATTCACTTTTCAGTTTTAAGAGAATGCCTTCCCTAAAAGTTATGGAAAATGGAAAGGGCGATTCTGCTTTCGTGAGCTTGAGTGGACTCCGGGAGATGGTGGAAGACAGGAAGGCCAAGAGGAATGCTGTCCATGAGGTCGCGATGGGTCGGGCACGACTTCACAATTAGCAACAACATTCTGCTTTTAAGCAAACTCTTTGATCCAACTGTGCTTTTGAGATGTTGTCTTCCTGATCATATGCACATTATGGGCCAATGTCTAAAAACACACAAGTTAAAGCCCAATTTATAATGGTTTTTATTACTTTCAGTACTTACCATCGATGGCATCTCCTAAATCAAAACCACCATCTAAACAGGAAACATAAATCATTTAACAAGAAAAACAATTGAATTAGAAGCCACCCATGTGGCTTATATGTTTCAGGTAAGGTGGCCAGATTTTTTTTAAGAAATGAAAAAGAATTAGTATCCCATCCACAAAAGAACATTTGCACATATTTAGAAATGGGGGGGGGGGGGGGCAGCCAGGAACAAAAATACCTTCTTGCCTAGCCTTATGTGGGAGAAAGCAAGGGAGAAGTATATTCGATGGCTCACTAAAGGCACAATCTTGTGCATGTTTAGACACAAAAAAGACTCACAACTCCCATCCCACTGGTGTCACGGACTGCACATAAAGAAGCTTATTGCTCAAATTCAGTTAGATCCACTGAAGAGCTGTACATGAATATGAAATCATCTCTAATTAATACAAAGAATACTTGCATACTCACCACTTGGTGGCTTTTTACTAGGCACGGAAGGCTTCGACGTTGGGTCTATAGTATAAAAATACATAGCACTTAACCAACATTTGAACAATTAATTACCACAGTAGGGGATCTGCTTGAATGATTTTGGGATAAGTAAGTCAACAAATGGGCAGAGTTGCTTTTTATGCTAGTTAAAGCAAAATATAAAAGTCAACTCTTATACAAGGTGTGAGGTTTCCAATTGAACCAACAGTAAATAGTAATAACAGCATTTATAAATGCCTTAAAAAGTTAGAAGATATATTAAACATATAAAAACTAGTCCTGTCAAAGTAAGTTTATGTTCTCTGTTATCCAGGTCTACTGAGGCAGACAGAATTGAGCTCAATGGTTATTAAACTCAGGAAAAAAAAATCTAAGATTACTGTCCATACTGTGTAGCTGAGCTTTGCTGACAAGTTGCTCAACTGACAACATGTTGTTGTTGTTGTTGTTGTTGTTGTTGTTGTTATTATTATTATTATTATTATTATTACATTTCTATGTTAAGCGGATACCAAGTTTAACATTGACATAATAAAACAAAAATTCTAAATAAATAAATAAAACAAAACATTCAGTCTTAAAACTAGGGCAATATCAAGTATCTAGACATTTTCGCTGCCAGCAAACATTTAGGAATAATGGGTTTTATGAATGAGTTAGGAGAACATGACTCTGTTTGCTTAAGTTAAGGAAGCATGGGCCTTGGCAAGATCATCATGTAAGCTGCCTGGTGTTTTCTACCAGAAGAGCATAAAATGTAGATATTAAATCAGAATATTATCTCAATGCATGTAACTCTTTAAAAAGCTCATCTACTCTCTTTTTCCAATGTGGAATGAGTCCGGGGAACTATAGGACCAAACTACAAACAAGAGCAGCACCCCCATGTATCTGAATGCAAACCCATTTCTTCCTTCGGCTCCCACATCACCAAAGACCTGAGACCAGTTAAGAAAACTGGCTGGGGAAGACATGGGTGAGGCAGGGGAAATCACAAGCAAAGAGATCTGTAGGCATCTGCCTCAGTGACTGCTTGGGGCATTAAAAAGTTCGCCCTGCCCATGTTTTATCAGTTATTAAAGCCGATCTAAGATATGATTTAAATTAAAACTCTCACTGTACTATATTATCACTATTAAAAAATCATAAAGAAGACATGAAGTTTATTTGTGAATTGAGCTACTTACGAGATGGAAGTGCATCTGACAAGTCAAAATCTTGTCCTGTGAAGTTAAAAAACAAAAATCATTATCTTGTCGTAATACACAATTATAGGTCTATCCAGGATAATAATAAATCAGGGAATGTAAACTATTTTCTCAATCTTAACTGATTTTTGATAAGTTAAAAGGTAAAGTAAAGGTAAAGGTTTCCCCTTGACGTTAAGTCCGGTCATCCCTGACTCTCCGGTGCTCATCTCTGTTTCCTTACCGAGGGAGCCAGCGTTTGTCTGCAGACAATTTCCATGGTCATGTGGCCAGCATGACTGAACACTGAAGTCACAGAATGCTGTTACCTTCCCACCAAAGTGGTACCTTTTTATCTACTTGCATTTGCATGCTTTTGAACTGCAAGGTTGACAGGAGCTGGATGGAGCAACGGGAACTCACCCCATTATGTAGATTCGAACTGGCGACCTTTCGATCAACCAGCCCAGCAGCACAGCGGTTTAAACCACTGCGCCACCTGCATCCCGTTTTTTGATAAGTTACCACACAGGAAATATCTTTGTGGAACCACTCTTTGCCAATGGGTTTTCCACATGCAAACCAGTCTGAAATCACACTCTCAGCTGTTTAATCTTGACAGATACTGAGCATCATGAGAGTTAAGTAGCCACATGGTAAATTCCCAAACCCATCCAAAAGGTGCACTGTTAGGTATTTCTTTCCACCAGGACTTGTAGGATTGGTAAATCAACTACATTCTCTCAAGACTGTCTATGCATTTCTTTATAGAGTTACCAATTAGCCATGTTAGCCAAGTGGAAGCTCTTTTTCTAAGGAAGTACGTCTCTACATTCCAGGCACCATTGCCACAGTGCCATTTGTAAGCTTCTTGGAGGCAGCTATTGTCAACTGCCAACATAATGCTAGAGTCGATGGCTCCTTCCTGTAATCTAGCAGGGTCCCTCTTATGTCCTTATGGTGACTCATACCTGGTTGAATAAATTAGACCCATGTCACAAAGGATTGGTCCAAAGAAAAATGGATCACTACAAGTTGAATACAACATGCAAAAACTTGTTTAAATCATGTTTTCATTCTTCAGTTCTTAACACTATGGTAGACATTTATTTGTTTGTTTGTTTGTTTAGGAAGCTTCTATGCTGCCCCATTCGCCGAAGCCTCGGGGCGGCTCACAACAATACATACTTCCCAGACTGGACTTTCTGAACTTCTTCAGAGAGTTGGCATACCCTGTTAGCAGTCACACAAAAAATAAAGATTGGTATTTTTCATGCAAGTTTTCAGCAGGTGAATGACCTCAAGAGCAGTTCATACTATTTTCCCGAAACTGGAATACAGTGAATTCCCTGATCAAACTAGAAAGCAGGCAAGTTATGGTCTAGGTGCTTCTAGTATGTCTGTGACTATCCTGCAGCAGGGGTGGACTGAAGGCAGATCTTCAGGAGTGATGGACTTCAAATCCCAGCATTTCTAACTATTTGGCTATTTGCAAAGTGTCCTAGAAGGTCAAGTTCCAAATATCTGAGATCTAGCTTCTGCACACCCCTGACCTAACATTTTCTCCCATTTGATACCAGGCAAGAATGGCTGTGTGTCCAACCTGGATTTGGGCCTACACCACAATAATTACAACTGCAGGTGTTTGTTCCTGCAAAAATAAGGGAAAGAAGAGGGGTGGGGGAAGAAACTTGTAATGGAAGAGTTGTAAGCAGCAGCCACAAGAAGTGCATCAGTTAGATGAGCATCTAATTTTCATTTTATGCTTCTGGCATGCATACATATTCAGAGCACTCTGAGTTGGGGGCCAACTATGCCTAAACTAATAGTATTTTTAAAGGAACTCCCCCAAGGATCCTAACTGCTTTCTGCGAAAACAGAAAAGCATCTTGGTCACCTAAGGAGAGTAGTGTTCGCAGAAGAGTTTCTTCTGCTTATTGAATAAAGTAGTGAGGATTCAAGTGAGCAACATGAAAACTCAAAGTGCGACTGGCATCATTTTTCAGTTTATATAGTGAGGGACAAAAACACTACTCTTTTCAAAATAATAGGGATTTGCTTTTAACTTGGTTTTTTCCCCATATTTGAAACTTTTTTTGAATAGTCAGACTTCCTCCATCATTCATCTCCCATCTGAAATCCATTCAGCTGCAGAGCAACACCAAATCCATTAGGTACAGGTAGTTCGAAGGATGCAGTACATTGGCATCCCAACCTGTTATGCCTTTGCCGTATCACTGCTAGAAACAGCTCAGTAGACATTTGGACATTTTAGAGTTTGTTAGGTGGAGGAACTAGAATACAAGCATAACTCACAAGAAGAACAAACTGCTTGCAACAGCATTAGTCATCTCATACTATGCAGGAATTTGTGGGCATCATTCCTCCCAATGAAACTAAACTCTGACAGGATGTTTACACTCGCTGCTAAGCAGCGCTTTATAATTAGCTCTACAGGAACATACCATGAATTTAGGAGGACTCGGTACTACACTGGAATTTCTATCTGTGTCAGCACTACATAGATTGTCTCAAGCTCAACAACCGTTTCAGTATAGATTTAAAAATCTTTCAAAGTCATTTTGAAACATATGGGACCAGCAGTGCATGCAGTCTGGCAAAGACAAGATTCTTAAGCTTAAGAGACTTGGTGCTTTTCATAAAGTTAAATGCTATAGTCCCCTTGCATCAGCAGCATGTCTTCTTACAAAACTTAACTCCCAAACCCCTGAAAATGTATTATATAGAAGGCAGATTTGGCCACAGTGACCTGTTTCTTAACTATCTCTCACTTAGATGAATGTATGACAGTTTACATAGAGCTGCTCTTGAAAAGTGTTCTGAAACCAAGAAGCCCAAAACACAGGAGCCAGAGTCTTATCTGGCATGTCTTTTAAAGAACCTGCAAAACTTTTCAGCCAAATACATTGTTTTCCAAACCCCATTCAAGAGCTGGTTTGGATCTTCAGATCTTTAAATAACCCAGGGTCTAAATAAGTGAAAACCCCTGTTACTTTGGATTATGTATGGGATCCGTTGCTTCAGAAGAAGGATCTGCTTTTGTTGATGTGTATGTAGGTAATAGTTATTACTCTATATGTGATTTGGGTAACCGGTTATGTTTTGCCATTTGATAGCTTGTTTATTTAAGCAAAATAGGAGGGCAAGAAGATATTTCCAGCATTAGAACATGTGCTGGGAACCTTTTTTTAAGCCCCAATGCAACAGCTCAATACGATGCAAGGAGTTTCAGTTAACTGCCTTAAACTATTATTACTGATCAGAAATCATAACAGAAGAGGCATGTGGGCCAAACAGAACCTTGCTTGGGGGAGGGGGAGCTTACTTTTTCTTCCACTTTTTTCTTAATATGTATATCTTGTACTTGCAGTTGTCCTTCTCTATCCTTCAGTTTACTTATTAGTATCTTCTCTCCTTCCTTCTTCACTTTATAAGCTAACCATCTCCCTGGTTTATTAGCATTTTCAAAGTTCTGTTTGGTCAATTTCATTTGCTTAGTGAGTTCGTTTGTATCCAAGAGGTTCAGTTTATGTTTTAGAATATTCATTTGTACCTTAAAGTCTTTTATGGATGGATCTTCCTGTAGTTCTTGTTCGCATTTCGTCAATTCCTCTACTATTTTAGCTCGTTCCTGCTTTCTCCTTTTATTTATTTTTGCTGAGTATGTTATTATGAGCCCCCTGACATAGGCTTTGGCTGTATCCCAGACATTTTGCAAAGAGGTTTCTTCAGTTTTATTTATTTGAAAGAATATTTGCATTCCCTTATTTATCTCTTCTATGAATTTTTAATCCTTTAATAAGACTTTGTTTAACCTCCATCTGGGCGTTTTTACTGTCCCTTTCAATGTCATAGTTACAGGGTTATGATCTGTCCAGACATTTGCCTCTATTTCAGCTTCTACCAGGTCTGGTACTAAGTCTGGGGCTATCCAGATCATACCAATGCTAGACCATGACCTATGTCTATTCGAATAGAAAGTATATTTAGCAGAGGTTGGGTTTTTATGTCTCTAGACATCTATCAAACTAAATTCTTCAATCATATTAAAACAAGACTTTGGAAGTATCCTCCTGCCTTTTTGGTCCTTAATCTCACTCTTATGGTCCATTTTCTTGTCCACAATTGCATTAAAGTCTCCCATTAAACACACGGTCTGGTAGTCCAATTGTGAGAGTAAAGCATGTAGCTTTTGGTAAAACGTTTCCTGATGGTCATTTGGGGCATAAATCGCCACTAAAAACACATTTTTAAGTTTCATTGTTATTTCAACCATCAGAATCCTACCACCATCATCAGCTAATATATATTTAGGGTCTAATTTTTCCTTGATGTATAATGCTAAACCTCTTTTCTTTTGAGAAGCGGAAGATATAAATAGCTTTCCAAGCTTTAAACATTCCAAAAGCTTATTATGTTGTTTCTTAATATGTGTTTCTTGTAGGCAAATTATATCTAATTTCTGCTTTTGAAGTTGAGAGAAAATCCTTCTCCTCGTAGAGGGTCCGTTTAGTCCATTTATGTTTAAAGAGAGCAGTTCAATTCTTCCATTTTGAAAGCCATATTTAAAGGATATATATTTATCTATTTATGCTTCACCTTTACACTTCTACCTTTTTTCTTTTCCTTTGGTTCCAGTGTCTGTTCCTCTTGTTGTAAGTCTGTATCCACTATTTCTCCTTCTTCAGAGTGGTATGCTGTTAATTCCATTGGTTCAGCACCTTTTCCTCCTTCTTTTGAAGCACCCGATTCTTCCTCTTCAAATGTGCTTCTAAATTTTTCATAAAACTCTTGCGCCTTGGATACTGAGTCCAGCTTATATCTTGTAGAGTTCCAGGTGAAAAATATTCCTTCTGGTGTTAGCCACATGATCTCTTCCTTAGCCAGCTTCGTGGTAAGGAATAAGTATTTCTTTGGTCCTTCTCTAATCCTCCATGGTATTTGTTTCAAAACAGTCACCTCATGATGATCATCAGCCTTTAAAGGTTTATCATGTACAGCCCTCAAAACATTGT